TCATTACCATAGCAGGCCAGGTTATTGCCATATTAGATTCAACTGCGTCCTTTTCTAAAGCATCGGCCTTTGTAGAGGATCGTCGACTTCCGTTCCAGTTGTTCGGCATCTCGGTAAGACAAGAGAAGGTCAGCAATGGCGGCTGTAATTTGGCGCGTGTGTAAAGCGTCTATAGACTACGGCGGTTTCCTGATTGAGCATGAAGTAAGTTTGCGTGTCGCGGTCGCTTGTACATCGTGCAAAAAGCAGCCTGTAGGCATCGTCTAAGGTCTACCTTGTATGACGGTCCCATGAAGTTAGAAAGTTTTAGGGAACCGTTTTTGCCCCCTCCCATACGGTACGATGGGCTTTCCGGTCCGAACTGCGCATGCGCTAGTTCGTATCGGAGGTGCCAAAACGGTTCCCTAAAACTCCCTATTAGTCGTGCAAAACCTGTCCGCAGACATGTTGGAAGCATGTACGAAGCAAACATGCAGACATATTTCTATCATCAAACCTGCAGCGAACGCCGTGTCTTTTACATGATGTATGAGCAGTTTGACTCCGGCTTTATAAACATGGTACTTACGGTATAAGTAGGCAAACTAATACAAATCAAGCGGGAGTTGATTTGCGTGTTTATGCATAAAGTCACGGGTGGTGCATGTTGTTTCTGGGTACTGATTTCTGTTTCTCAGTTCTACACTTGTGCGTTTTTTTTTTTCCATCCTTATACGTATAATATTGTTCCCCTCTACCTGCACTTCCAGCAAGGTAGTTCGAGCCTCCCATGTGTAAACAGCATTGCGCATGCTAACCATCGTGAAGCCTGCCGCAAGTATAAACGCTAAAAGTATATACCGGGAGCCGTGTATTCACGAATCGTGAGCTTATGAGATTGGGTTCGAGCGGGCCAAGGCGGTCAATCGCGACGACACCTGATCACGATGTTTTCGTGCTCCTCGAAAACATTTCGTGTATTGACGAAAGCAGATGATATGTTTGCTTCGTTCCCGGATGTCGAACACATGCGTTAGCCTCTGCATCTCCATGTGTTCTCCGCCGGACGAGGCTGGCAACCGCACCGGAGGCAGGAGCGAACGATTGAGAAAGCAAAAAAACCCAGAGCGCCCGCCAGCCGGAGTGCCGCAATTTCCTCGCACGAAGGCATCAAGCCGACCCTTTTCAAAAGTCCGCGCCAACGCCCGTCTGCCATTGCTCGCTCACCTTCCCTGAGCATGTATTGGACCATAGCCTCCTCTATGCTCACAAAGCCTGGCAGTTCGACCGTTCGACAACGCAGTTATAGAGTGCTCGGTCGCAGATTTCGAGCGCGAGGACGCGGTAGCGCTGAGCATCAAAGAGCCATTTCATTGGGAACCTAGAGCCCCTCTGGGGAGCCTGGATGTCAGCGCGCAGCTTTTGCAGCGGCGAGGACTCGAAACAGACTTGTTCGCTCGGGAGAAGTCTGTTTCGGCGTCTCGCCGCAGCGGGGCACCAGTCACGTGGCTCTCCTCTCATCCGTTGTCTGCCGCTCCACCTTTTCCATTTCGGCGGCCACTTCTTGTGGCCGTCTGCGCCAGGCTGTGCCAGTATATAGGAGGCTATGATTGGACACGAGCGCTGCGTCAGCATTCGGCGAGGACTCTGATCCAATCACGCAATTCGTGTCCATGCAATGGCGACTGCCAACTCGTTGGACTTTTGAGAAGGTCTCGTTCCGTGTTTCATATTCTGGGTCGTTCTTTTGTTTGTTTCAACAGTGCTAGGCATTTGCAGTCTGAGCTGCCTTCACGTACCCTGTTCCCAGACTAAAATACTTAACTTTCTCCTAGCGGTATTTTCTCTCTCTCTTTCTCTTGTAGGTGACACATTGTTGGCGACACAAAAAAAAAAAAAAAACAGTTTGACACATTAGGAAAAAATTGCAAACGACCGGACAAAGTGTGGTGCGATTGACAGCGGCAGTTGTTGCGTTGTTGAAAGATGTGCTTAAAGGAATCTGATTTTAGTCGATGTGCTTTAGTATATTTCGATTGGGAGGTTTTATTAGTAAAATAGTGTATTTGTTTATTTATACCTACCCTCAAGGCCTAAAGCATTACAAAGGGTTGAACAAAAAACAAGTAAAAATGCAATGAAAAGTGGGAAAGCAATTCAAAATGAAATAAAGACAATGAATACAAACGACACAAACACTTGAATAATATACAGAGTGCTATACAGAAAGCAGCAATTCCAATATATATATATATATATATATATATATATAGGGAGAGAGAGAGAGGGAGAGAGAGATGCAAAAGAATGTAAAAATATATTTCTTATATTAATACTCTTAAATATAGAATCAATCAGATTTAGATTGAAACAAACCGAAATCACCAATGGTGTCTATTAGAGGGGAAGGCGCTTCCAGTCATTAGAGGTGCGTGGAATGAAAGAATAAAATAAATGAATTAGTATTGCAGGAAATGTCTCCTACAGGTGGTGTCCACGGTTCATCGCGTAACGCGGTGTGATCGATGCCCTCCCATGCATCATGCAAAACGCACGGTATGACAGAACATGTCCACAGACAGTGTATGTATGAACACTGTGGTAAGACCGCCGTACGAGTAAAAAAAAAAAAAACACGCCTTGGACAGTGTGACCGTGGTCTAAGCTAGTCTAAGCAACCCTATCTTCCGCTCCGGGCCTACTGAAACATGACCGCTACTTCCAGCTCTCGCACATGAGCCGGGCAAGTATAGAGGTAGAGCAGGTGGCATCGAGCGCCCCTGTGGACATGCATGACGCTGACCAATCGATAGGCGCGCGCGGAGCATGCGGGCAAGCGAGGAACACGAGAAAAAAACCAGTTGGATCTGGCCCCGTGGACGCGAATGATCCCACGCAACGGCGTCGTAAGAAGAGTCAGAATCGCCTGCACACAGCCGTGCGGTTAAACCTGACTATGAGCGGCGAATGTCAGCAAGTCTCCTCACTGAATGACGAGGGCACCATGTCGGCTCTGCTGTCGTGTTGGTTCGAACCATTTCTTTCTCTCGGCTCATTTCGCGCTTTTGGATTAACGCTCTGTAGAACTGAAGAAGGGATTCATTTCTTAGCAGAGAGGTGTGCCGGCGTAATCAGTCTTCTCGGCCCATTTGTCATTGTAACCCCCGAGTTATCTTAGTTTAAACGTGAGAGGTCTACAGAAGACGTAGAATGATGTGCTATAACGGATGCGCACTTCGGATGACACTGTTCTCTATTTTTTATACTTCTCTGCGATTAATAGGGTACGCGCCAAAATAGTTCCCCTGCTGAGCCGTACTCAGCGTAATAGTTTATCCGCATACTTCACAATGCTCGGGGAAAATCGATTACCTTTCCCGCGCCTATCACACAGGCGAAAAATGTTGAGTCGCTGTACTGTGGGCAGATGCCTGGCGTCTGATGTCCCTCAGAGGTGAGCCACTGCGCATGCTCAGAATGTAGCCCACAACCCAGTAGACAATGACTGCAGCGAGCCGAAGGCGATTATTGAAATCGTCTATTGCATATTCATTGGCGGCCATAGCCGCGTCTCGGCTGCTGATTGCGTGCTGACGACGAGCTTCCACGGTGCATTCCACACCATCGAGATTACGGTCTTGATGCAGCCTATAAATGTGAACCCGTTTGGAGCATGCGCAGTGAAGAGAGCACTCAAATATGGCGTCCAGTGAATATCCCCTATGGAGCGCAAGTTCGTCTGCTTCTTCAGCAGGGTTGTGGTGACGTCAGAACGCCGAGCTCCGATTGGCTTCGATTGGAAGGATAGTGGGCAGACCTCAAGGCAGCTAGCATTGAAATCTACTTACTATCCCTCAATCAGAGCCAATCAGAGCTCGGCGTTCTGACGTCGGTGCAACCCTTGTGCAAGAAGCAGACGAAGGGGGCATCGGTGGCCGAGTGGTCTAGCGCACACCAGCTCGAAGCACGTGGAGCGAAAGCTCGCGCTGCAGAACCCAGGGACCCTGGGCTCAATCTCCACCCCTGCCCGTTCCGACTTGGATGAGCACCGTATACCGGCGTGCGGTCGTGTATTACAACTGCGTGGTGCACTTTAAAGACCCCAGGCTAGCGGTTGCGCTGCACTGGCTAAATTGCTCATCTACAGCGAGTACGTGACTCGTCGCAACTTTGAAATGGCTGACCAGCTACCCGCTGTATAAATATTCACACAACCTCAATTAATTTAAGCAGACGAACTTGCGCTCCGTATAGCTTGCGCGCTAACTTGGCTGGTTCTGCCATGCTGGTGGTCTACAGCCCGACATTTTCCTTTGCTGTTGGAATTTTACACCAACGAAGTGGTACTTGGAAGTAAACAATACGCATAGGAGTAACTGCCTGCACTTTTGGATGACCGATGACATCACGTGGGAAGTTACCCGCTGGTTAGAGAAAATTGCAAGCATGGTGTTCCTCACTGGTGCCCCATGCGTACAAGCATGTGCTGCGTGCGCGTGAACTAGCTTGGGCAAGCTTGTAATCGCACGCACTTGCCCGCACAAGCAGAGAAGTGGCGGCGGCCAGATGTCCTGCTTGCAATCGTCTATAGCCATAAGAAGGTGAATCTGTACTTTCATTCAAAGCTACGTCGTGCCTGTAGTCATTGAGCAATAATACCCTGTGGTGTGTCCGAGAACAGGGGGATTTATCCCCCACATGTCATAAATGGGTCTCCAATTTGCAAGACGCAAGGCCATGATTTTATTTCGGCCTTGAAGAATGCCACCTCTGTTTTCAGACTTAAGCGAATGAAAGATCGGGAGGTTAGTTAACTTCTTTGCACAGCGATGGGGCTCTCATCCTATTGCAGGGGGAATCCGATCATCTTTGACTAGCGATGCGCGATGAATTCAAGCACTCCGGCGTCAATTTGACATTACAGTGTTATGTCGTCCTTGACTGATTACGTATGATTAAAAAATCAAAATTGTCGATATAAAAAAAAAAAAAAAAAAAAAACTTTTTTTGTCCCTGTGCAGGCGAACCCGTTCACTAAATGCCCCGAGCCCGGTGTACCAGTTTGGACCATGCGGCCGCATCCTCAAGAACTCTGCCATGGTCATGTGAGTACAAAAAAAAAATAGTTCAAAAATTATAACTGATTATAAGATGGTGAACATAATGCATTTGAACAGATAAAATATGCACCACAAATTTTGTTGTGGCGGCATAGTCCTCAGATTTCTATACCCCAAACAAGCAACACTTAGCCTCGCGGAATTACACATCTCGCTCATAAACAAGAACGCACTGTTCAACCATTTAACTTTGTTATGCATAAGAAATATAGACCTATCAATAATGGCGTAATCGACCAGGCCCCTGTCGATCACGTTTGTAAGCAACTTAGTGTTGCGTTGCTTTGTATGCATGTTTATGACTCGAACGTGCATGCACACAGCCGTGCGAAACCGATATATTCTTTTGACAAATTCGCTATGCTTGTTTGGAAGATAACTGATTCCCCTTGTCCGATTATCGAGACTAGCGGTTGCTTTGTAGAAAGCTTTAGTTGTATGTATATATATTTTTTCATCGTCGTGCTTTACTTTACAGAGAGACGTAAACAAAGATAAACTTCCAGAAAACGCCAAGTTTGTTTATACAGAGAATCTGCTTATTCATTCAAGAGCTCCACTACTCGGGAATTCAAAACGGTGCAGCTCCCTTCCCCTTTACTCCCTCCTCCCCTCCCCCCCCCCCCCCCCCCCCCCAACCCACACACACACACACGAGGAAAAGAAAATGACAAATTTTATGGAGCGAATATGCCGCTAACAAACTACGAATTTCGCTCGACGTTCGCTCTGCAAAGCGAACGTGCCGCTGGGCGAGATTCACCAATTGTTATCCAGATATTCGCTCCATGAAGCTCACACCTTCAACCACAAAAAATAATGAGGCTCTATTTCTTTTTCTTGAAATTTCTAGAACTTGGTAAATGACGCTGCGCTCAACAGATGCACTTATCGAACAAATACATACGTTCGTGGATAAACATAGCTCAGTTATAGATGTCAGTAAGTTGCCGAGCCATTGAACATGAAATAAAGCACACCTTATCACGGTACTGTTGTCGTGTCATATAAGTGGCAGCCTAACCTATGAATATTCCACCTAGCCTAGCGCATGCACCCACAGGACTCATCGAGCGACAAATATTATGGTCAATATTCAAATAATTCAACCACTTCCCGTTTCTTTTTCCTTTTATTTTCTTTTGAAGAAAGCTCTTGTTTTCTGCGAAATGTGCGTGCAAGTCAATGTTTCTCTAGGAGGAAACATTGATCGCGTCATTAACCATTCAATATGCGCGGCCAGCGAGCGTGCATGCGGGCCGATCATATAAAAAAGTGGAGTTCCCTGCACGTCTCTAAGCCGGTCTACATTGTCTTCTCTCGACAGCCGCATGCTCCAGGATGAGAATAAACCGTGTGGATGGCTGCCATCGATGTTTCGCCATTTGCAGGACCATCCAGGACCCCGCGGGCCAGCGGTTGACTTGGCACAAGCCCCCTCTAACGGTGCTGGTCATCAAAAAGACCATGGACGCCACCGTGGTGAAGCCCTTCAACGAGCTAGTCCACTGGCTCATCTGGGTACGGTGTCACCCCCCCCCCCCTTTTTTTTTTCGCTATCGACGCATTCTAATTAACAACAGGAGGTGCCGCAACCTCTCTTATTGAGTAACTGGCGAAGAGCAGAAGGCACCCTGCGCTTACATGTGTATGTCGTGTCCTCTTCCTAGGCCCATGTGTCGTTTATTGGTAACCCTTCATAGCGCAATTCAGTCAAAGAACAAATGCACCCTATTATGGCAATAATGTGATTCCCCTTTCACGACGTCTCACATATAAAAGGTCTGCTTACTTTTTTCCTATTTTTTAACTCTCTTGAATTTTATTTTCACAAAAGGCAAGAGAGAGAATGAACGGGGGCAGGAATTTTCGGTGATCAAGTTGCACCGTTTGACTTTTTTGACCCATAGATAGTGCGCAGAAGGCATGTGTGATAGAAAGGTCGCTAAGAAAAATGAGTATTGTGCTGGTGGCGGTAAGGGTAATAAAAAAAATGGAAAACAAGCAGGGCAAGGGACGGCACGTGTGCCCCTTTAATATAAAAAAAGACATCCATCTTTCTTTCTTTTTTTTTTAGGTACGTACATGCGTCATTTGTTCCTTCTTGATCACTTTTTCTTAGTACACTCGGCGAAAGTCAACCTGTTTTCTCATCATTTGCTAATTGTCAACAGGTTAAAAACATGGTCGTGTTCGTGGAGGACGCCATCCTGGAAGACCCTTTCCTCAAAAACAACAAGGCCTTCCTCGAGGTCAAAGAGAAGCTATGCACTTTCACCGAAGGTATCTTCAGCTGTCGTTTCTTGGACATGCCCTCTTGTGCTTTTTTTTTTTTTTTTATGAGGTGTGACATAGCTTATCCTTCTTTTTATTCTGTCAGGCAGAGATGAGCTCACAGACAGAATAGACTTCATCATATGTCTGGGCGGAGATGGAACTCTACTTTATGCTTCTTCACTCTTTCAGGTAAGAATGTAGCTTCTTTTTTTCGGTGTTTTGTGGTTCACACTCTTTCGAAACGACGTTGGCGTTATTCGATCACAGCGTCAGCTATATAACATTAGAAATGAGATACGACCTTGTCGTCAAAATTTGTCAACTTTAGCATGCAGATGGACCTTCAATTTTGTTGCCAACTGCGTCAAAGATCATCGGGTATTTTAACTTTACCCTCATTTATTCACTGAGACGTCAGGTGACAGACCCAAACTTGAACTAGATCAGAATGTCATCGCAGAGTGAAACCGCTGCGAAAGATCACTTTTTAATATACGGTATGCAATGTTTTATAACGTATTAAAGCGGGCAGACATCATGCCGGACCGTTGATTGTCTTAACACAAGGAAATAGAAACAAAACCCCAGTTTTCACAGTTTCACCAACAGATCAGCTAACTCATGCTGACAGCAAAGCCATAAGGGCATATCGGTGCGTGGAATAAGTCAATTCTCACGGGCAAGGTCGGAAGAAACAAATCGTATTTTTCGCCCACAATGTGCGAAGAAACGAAATCGATCGCTATAGCACGATCGAGCGCAATGCGGGAGGAACGGTGCCGTCACGGACCCGAGGACGGAGGTGCGACGTGGTTCATTCTCATATCCGTCGTGGTTGGCGTCGTAGATGCCACTGACGGCCGCCACTAGTGTTCGGTGATCCGTGAAGTGGATAAGTGCGGTGGAAGTTTTTACAACCATGCATCCAACATTACGCGTTGCAACTGGGTACTACCAAAGTGGGATTTCACATAACGCGAGTAATGTTTGAAAACAAGTTTTCAGGCAGACGACAGGGGAGACTCTTCTTTCGTATATAGCGCCGTCACTGGCGGGATGCCGGGGCGGCCCGACGGGAAAGCCCACTTTCCATGCCTCGCGCCAAAAGCGGAGAGGAGGGTTTTTCCTTAGCGGCGGCGACTGGAGAGACGAGGTCGAAATCTCCGCAAAGTGTCGCCCGTAAAGCTATCGCTTTAAAATGCACTATACTATAACTTTTTGACGTGATGAGGAGTTCTTGGGGATTGCGAGTAGGGTGGAATTTTTTTTTAAACTTTAAAAACTAGAAAACCAAAAACTAAAAACCAGAAAAAGTGTTTTTTTTTTTCTGGAAATTTTGGAAACGTTTGAGGGCTTGTCACAGAAAGAATAATCCAGCAATATTTTGAGAGATACCGACATACATATATTGACAACGGCAAAGTTTTTCGCCAATTTTTGAGATTGTACTGTTACATTATATAATTATATTACATTTGATTGTTTATAGAGCTTTGTCAATTTATCAAATTCTTGACTACGCATCTGGCAATAGCAACACACGTGCACTCATCAAGCTAAATACTGAATTGAGATTATTTTTGCGGTTAACTTGCAGCCACCGTTCGTCAATTATGATGTTATGTTACACAAAAACATGTACATATGGTGGTGCAGTAGTGGAGGCTCGGTTGCGTGTTAAATACAAGTTCTATGGTTTCCGTTGACTAAGGGCGTGACACTCTATTAACCGGAAAATATGCGATAGATGACATAAAAATTGGCTTCTTCACATGCATGCACACACTACACGAATAAACCTCAGGGCACACTAAGTGATCACTCCTCTGTCCTAAATTTTTAAAACTTTATTCTTATATATTTTTAACATTTATAGCCCTACTTCTGCACAATTCACACTTAACAGCAGAACAGTGCTCATTTAGCGTACGATTTTAGGGCAATGCAAACAGTTTGACGACGGCTAGAGGCAGCATTCGACCAGAAGCGCGGTTCCTCCCATTTTCTCCTTTGCTTCGTCCCCGCGCCGTTTTCTTTTATTTTTATGGACTAACAAATCTAATATGGTATAGTGTTTAATCCTCCGCCTGGACTTCGACGAAATGACGTGCGATGGGATCATTTTTCGTTTTGCCGTAGTGATTAATGTCAATTTTACCGTATGTTGCAGAAATGTGTTTAATGGGCTTCTTGATGATAGAAATAAATTAGGTCTCGGCTCTTGTCCGGGGTTTTCTTTTTTGCAACTGGGGATTCGTAGGTCGGCACTTTGTCTCATAGCGGCCGAGACTGTGATATGCTTTGATTTTCATCCAGAAGCTTGGCGAACGTCTCCTTATAAACTATTTCTGTCCATGCTGCAGCAAAGCGTTCCTCCAGTCATGGCGTTTCACATGGGCTCACTGGGATTCCTAACGCCGTTCGAGTTTGAAAACTTCCAGGAGAAGGTCACCAACGTCCTCGAAGGTACGTTTCCTCTCTCTCTCTTTCTTACTTTCTCAAGTTGGCCTAACATGGAAACTTTGATCAGTTTAACGTGCAACTAGAACGGCTTGAAAACAAAAAAAGGTAAACAAAAGAAGAGAAACATTTCCATCTTCGTGTAGATGTGCAAATGTTCACGTGTGCACACGCAATCACCCTGTTGATTCGCATATTTTGTTCCGTCTCTTAGCGCACACGTGCTCCACGTTTGAGTATGGTCACGGACAGAATGAGAACGACAGGGAATCTTTCTAGAAATATTACTATAGTCCGTTTTTCAACTTAAGAAGGTATTGCGAGGGAAAGCAAGGCCGGGGAGGAGGAAGCAGACGGAGCGTTGGAGAGAGGAGGAGGCTTCCCCCTCTTTTTTCCAGCGTTCCGTCTGCTTCCTCCTCCTCGGCCTTGCTTTCCCTCGCAACGGACTATAGAATCAGGTGCATGTGTATTTTTAGAGCGCAGCTCTTAGGGGCCCGTTCCCGGCTTGAGCGGCGTCGGCGTCGCCGTTGGCGTCGCCGTCGGCGTAACCAAGGTCACCCCAAGGTCACGCGACCCCCCCAAGGGCATCCCAAGGTCACGTGGTCTCCAAGGTCACCCCAAGGTCACGTGACCCCAGAGGTCACGTGACCCCTCCCCCAGGGTCACGTGACCCCCAAGGTCACGTGACCCCCCCCCCCCCCGAGGTCACGTGACCACCCCCCCAGGGTCACGTGACCCCTTCGCCGAGGTCACGTGACCTCCCCGATGACGTCATCGTCACTGATGACGTCACCGGCATCCACATCGTCATCATCACTGATGACGTCATCAGTGACGTCACTGATGACCTCACCGGCATCCGCATCGTCATCGTCATCATCACTGATGATGTCATCAGTTACGTCACTGATGACGTCATCGGCATCCGCATCGTCATCATCGCGGATTACGTCATCAGTGACGCCACTGATGACGTCATCGACATCCGCATCGTCATCGTCATCATCGCTGACGACGTCATCGGAGTCCGCATCGTCATCGTCACTGATGACGTCATCACTGACGTCACTGATGACCTCACCGGCATCCGCATCGTCATCGTCATCATCACTGATGACGTCATCAGTGACGTCACTGATGACGTCACCGGCATCCGCATCGTCATCATCGCGGATGACGTCATCAGTGACGTCACTGATGACATCATCGGCATCGTCACGTGACCCCCAAGGTCACGTGACCCCCAAGGTCACGTGAACCCCCCAGGTCACTTCACCCCCAGTACCCTTCCCTCCTCCTCCTCAAGAGCTGCGCTCTAATTCGGTGTTACAGGGAGTTGTAAACGGCTTTCACTTTTTTTTTACCCTCGATTTGTTAGTTAACTACTGCGACGTAATATCGGGTAAGCAATACTGACTGTCTTCCTTCCCTTCCTGCATTTCTTCTTTCTTTCGAATCAATCTACACAACGGCTAACTGCATCGCTTATCACTGACGCAGATTGGTTTGACCGAACATCTTAACGTTTAAAATGCTATGTATATTCTGTAACCTCGGACTCGTCTTTTAAATTCCTTGGCGAAAGCAAGCAGCTCTTCGTAAATTTACTTTGCAGGAGGTTTGGGTAGCTGGTATCACTAGAAAATTATAAGAAGTCTTTCTTAAGTGAAAATAAATATTCACTTGCCAGTGCGTAATTTCGTACAAAACGCAATGACCTCGTTTTTTTTTCTCTCAACATACGCTGTACGTTCGTTCATGCACGTGCACCTATAGCGTGCGATTTTCGTAGAAGTGACTTTCCGCTTGTCTCTGTGATTTGTGGATGATAATAATTCAATTCAAACGATTATTAAGAGCAGTCACTTCGGGCTTTGAAAATGTTAAGTCTTGGTAGTACCGAAATTAATTTTGTATCAGTGATCTGTTTAAAATGTGCCTCCGGGACATGCATGCCTTGACTGCGCGAGTTAAACCTCTTGCACTGTAAAAACTACTTTATTTTACCCTAAAAGTTATAAAAATTGTGTTCTGGATACTTACACCCATCGCTGCACCCTTTAAAATCGCCAAATAGTGTGCGACTTTATGGAATACCCTTCATTCTTGAAGGACGTGAAAAAGGTGTAGAACGAAATGTTGTAGTTGCTGTGTGGGGAAGCTTTAGCGAAGGTCGTTTTAGCGGCTACATCAAAAAATAATTGTCCGCAGCAATGCTCCATACTATGATATACATTCCTTGACCTACGAGACATTACACTTTCTTTTGCAATACTGACGAGAACAAAGTAGCCTACGAATTAAGGTCGTGTGATTTTCATCAGTGATTCGTTGTCTCTGTGCAACTGGGTCCTGTGATTTCCTCATGCGTGATTCGTTATATCTGTATATCTATAAGGCTGCAAATCCCTCGCCAAGTCAGACACTTTGACTTTTTGTCCCAGCAGCCTACATAATTGTGCGATTTGAACACAATCTCGATTGATTGATTTATCGGCTTTTCGATGAAAATGTGACAACTGTTTATTGTGTGTATTGCTTGTGAACTTCTTGCTTGCAAAAAATATCCCTAAAATGCTGCTAAGATCAGCACCATACTTTAGAGTGTTCGCCGGCAGCCTAAGGGTGTTGGAAGAGAGCACCCTTGGGATGCTAGCCCTGGGACAGTTGTTTTACACTCTAAAGGTATAAAACGTGTCGTTTCTGCCCAGGTCATGCGGCCCTCACACTGCGAAGTCGGCTAAGATGCACCATCTACCGTAGCGAGAACGATTCGAACGATAATAATCTCTGCAACAATTCTTCCTGTCTGGTATGTATACAAAGTCTTACGAGTTACAAACCTCTATGATGTCTGTGCTCGCAAATCAGATCATTTGTATGCGTCACAGGAAAGACAAATCTATGCACTTAAATTAATGCAGACATTTTTGGAGCGCGAACTATACCTCTATCTTAAAAAGAAGAAAAACAGCAATTGCTATTGTAATTTACGCAAAAAAAGAAAAATAGCGAATTGCTTACGTTGCGAAGCGGGCACTCTGCGCAAAGCTATTCTTTTTTCACAAGTCGCTTGATTATATTCTCTTTCTTTCTTTAGAGCCGATTCTCTGGGCGTAATCAGCTGCAAGTACGTCATGATCATGACTTTGCATCTGTGCGTTTGTGTCGTTCCATAGCTTGCTATGTGAAACTCTACTGTCCATGTTTTTGTATGTAACGCAAATCATAAAACCACACCGAATGAAAAGATATACGAAACTCGCGATAAGGATGAAAAAGAAAAAAAGAAAGAAAAAGAAGTTCCCCTAACAACCTTAGACTGAGTTAATCTTGTCTCTAAAACAGATTTCAGAAGAATGTCCTAGCCGACGCGTTGGGCTTGAGCTATCATCCGATACTTTCTTTTCCATGTTTGTCTATTCACCTTTTTACTTTTAGTGTGGTTGGATTGCAATGGCTTTGTTACCACCGAAAGAAAAAGATATACAAAAACCATGTCGTTTCTTTACTCCCTGGTCTAGGCGCCCTCGTTTTCCGTAGAGCCGCGTCAGATTTCTCTGCTAACCGAGCGTCCGAACTCCACGGACGCTATGTCATGTCAACGAGTAGAAATCCACCACTTTCAGAAGTGACGGTTTGAGAGCTATCGTTAGAGACACCTGCTGCCATTAAAGACAGACGACCAGTTCGCGCTTTCCACTTTTTTCCCTCCCCCTCCTCTCCCCCCTTCTACCCTGTCCACCGTTGCCTGTTTCCTCCTCCCCCAGGGTGAGGAAGATCGTCTGCCTTGTAGAATATTGTGTCTGGTAGTCGGCCTTTAAGCGAGCGATTTTATGGGGCCATGTCTTCGAATGAAATGCTCGCGTTTGCTCGTACCGCGATGCTCATATCAAAACCTTCCGAACTAGTGATTTCTCAAAACTGCGGATTACGAAGCATTCGCCAGGCAAGCAGTTAAACTATAATAGAGTACCTGCCTGACTTTTCGGCACGGCAACGGCAGAGAGTCCTTATCCCTAGCATGCGTCTACACGTTGACAAAGTGCGCACAATAAGCTCCGAAGGTGACGTCGTGCAAATATTGGTATTAAAGATGCATGTGGACCTTCACCCGGGATTTGAGACGTGTGCGCAGTTTGGATATGTCATATACCACAGAAATTCCTTGCATGTGCAAGTCTTGTTACGTCCCTAGAGCTTATGTCCTGGTCTTTCAATTGGCAAAATTTTCAGGTCCTGATTCCCAAAAGCTTCGGAGTGTGACTTTTTTTTCTCTTTGACTGTTTGCTCACTGCAGGTGCTCAACGAGGTCGTGGTTGACCGAGGGCCATCGCCGTATTTATCGAACATTGACCTGTACTTGGACGGAAAACTTATCACCACTGTACAAGGCGACGGTGAGCGATCGCTCTTCCCCATCACCTCTCATGAAAGCGTTGGAGTTGATTCAGCCGTAAATACACGAACGGCTTTCGCGCGATAGGACTAAATATTTGCCGAAGTCGTGTAGGCTTTTTTGTTTGTTTCTTTATTACTTTCCAAAAGACCTTGCGAAAAATCTTATTTTCTTTTTGTTTAGCTCAGGGAAAATTTTAATTATAACTCAGCAATATACATTTTCAGAGTTCACGGAGTAAAATGCCCATAAATGCATGCCGAGTATTATTTCAAGGTATCGGTGTAAGAGGAACAAAGATCACCAATCACCCCAATTTTTGAGAGCGCAGCTCTTGGGTGCCCGTTTCCGGGTTACGCGGCTTCGGCGTCGGCGTAAGCGTGCTCAATTTAGCGGAAAAATTGACGTCACGTGACCTCAACAACGATTCAATTCCCCACCAAATTTAGCGGGAAAAATGACGTCACATGAATTGGTGTCACGTCACCTATGAACCAATTAGGTTTCTCCGCTAGATTTAGCGGGAAAATTAACGTCACGTAACCTCAACGTCCATTCGATTTCCCACTATATTTAGCGTGAAAGTTGAGGAGGGGAGGGTATGGAGGAGGAGGAGGGAAGCAGGAGTAGGAGAGAGGAGGAGGATGGAAGGAGGAGGGGAGAGGAGGATGAATAGTATGGGAGGAGGAGGAGGAGGGCATACCGTCCCCTCCGTACCCTCTTCCTCAAGAGCTGCGCTCTAATTTCGCATTACAGTTTTGTAAACGTCTTTCATTTTTTTTTTCTATTTTGGCATGTTCCGCTCAAATGCTCTAGAGTTTATATTATTGATATCATGGCTAAACACATATGCGTATACGTATATGCTAAGCTTCGGTTAATGCGAGCATTAAATCTTACGGCTTTTTATAGTGATCCGAATGTGCGCTTTGCTCAAGACTGACTTCTAATATTTCATCTTGTCATTATCAAGGAGCAAACAGTCCTATCTATTAAAATCAACCTGCATGCTGATTAATGGTGAAGTGCGAAAAAATGTGCTGGGGCAAAAAGGGCTACGGTTTCAGCTAGACCGTGAAGGGACGTGAAAACATGCCGTACCCAACAGAACGGTTGTGTCTACAGGGCTGATCGTGTCCACTCCTACGGGCAGCACGGCGTACGCGGTGGCCGCGGGGGCGTCCATGATCCACCCCAGCGTTCCCGCCATCATGGTGACCCCCATCTGCCCGCACTCGCTCTCCTTCCGATCCATCGTGGTGCCGGCGGGGGTGGAACTCAAGGTGAGCACCGCACGCTCCCTTTCCAATAACGCCCTCGCTCGCTTCGGGGGTGTCCCGCACACTAGCCTGGCAGCCGACGCTAGCTAAAAGTGCATCGTCATAGCACTTGCCGCCTTTGTGCGTTCGCCGTCACCGACTAAACCAAGCACACTTATGCGCAGTGAATGGCCGCAATCCTGTTTTTTTTCTTTTTTTTTAGGAGGGGGGGGGGGGTGTTTGTTTTAGCGGTGATACGCACAAAGGCAAGGAGCGCCGTGATAATGCACTTTTGGCGCCGCTAGATTGGCTCTATGGGTAGGCTGCGATCGAACGTAAAGTGAAACGAATTCGACGGACTAACGCGATGTTTACAGACAAGTCCGGGTTTGCCTAAAGTTCCTATAGAGCTTTCCAAAATCGCCTTCTGCGCACTGCCATCCTTGTCTGCTGGGCTGTGAAACGCCTTCTTAGCATGCGCTGTTGCTCTGCTGACGCTGCGCATACGTCCAGTGACTCAGCATTTTTCGTCCGAGTGATAAGCGATGGAAAGGCCTATAGATGAGAGCTTCCTACAAGCAACGACATTCTTCGAACCGCCGATTGCGTGACGATGCAGGTTTAAGCGAATGGCGGCGCACAGCAGAAGACTGAACCGACCGAATGACGCCGTTTTGTTTCAGCGAAATGCGCTTTGTCACTTGTATTGGTTGTCGTTACTTGCAAAATAAAGATACCTAACGAGGGACTTTCGGTTTGCCCACACCGGGTGTGAGCAGTGCTCGTGAGCAGACGCCAGATTCGCTCCAAGTGTAGCGTGTGCGCATGCGCCGTTCCGACAGCAGCGCCACCGCGGCGGCGTGACGTTTTCGTTCGGCCGGTGGTGTGGCGAGACTGGTCGATTCTTCCGCTACGCCAGCACCGCCAGCGCACCTTGTGCTACGTCATGTCGACGCGGAGCACCGATTGTGCGAGAAGGCTACATCATCTTTCGCTAAACCAGTCAATCAGTATTGGTGAGGGGTGCATAGATGAATATATAGCTCTGGCTGGGGGGGACTCCTTGAATCGGGCAATGTCTTACGGCCCCTCGCCAGTTTTTTTTTTTTTTTTTTTTTTTTTTTGTAACTTGCACACTTAATGTACAAAGACGTCACCCATGAGTTCTCTGTCGTTTTTGACCCGATTATATGTCTTGCTTTTTTTCTCATCGTAGATCATGGTTTCACCCGAAGCACGAAGCTCAGTCTGGGCATCTTTCGACGGTCGCCTACGCCAGGAACTTCACCATGGAGAATGGTACGTTGACAAAGGGTTCAGTCGTGGAGTATGGTGAGGAAGGATTTAGGCATAGAAAAATGAAAGGAATGACAGCTTCAGTCGAGCACTGCCTTATCGAATTAGTTTCTTTTTCTGATTATACTACCGAAGAATTCCAGGAACTGGTAATGTAACATGACAATTTGAATAGGAAGCTCATGCCTCACTTTTGTTTTCCCCCGGTAAGGTCTGGTAAAGTACAGAACTTTAGTACGGATTATAACAACATCTGGTACGGTGGAATGGTTCAAAATGCAGATCTGGGATCTTAAAGGAAAAACGTATTCAATTTACAAAAAAAAAAAAAAAAAAGAAATCACACGGTCTCTTATGCTATCCCTTAGACGACTTGAAGACGAAAGCCCAGGCGCCATTGTAAACGTGATAGCGAGCCTCCGAAGGCAGCGCCCTCTCTGACGACGCACTTTTGGCGCCGTTTCATTGGCTCACTCGGATCGTGGCGTCGGCTGTGGTCCCGGTAATAGCGAACCTCCGAAGACAGCGCCCTCTCTGACGACGCACTTTTGGCGCCGTTTCATTGGTACCTTTCCTGTCGCCGACGTGTTTTTGCTCGAGGACTTTGAAGGTCGACTGAACGATGCGACATTATAAGGCTTTCGCCTTAATAATAAATTTCTTCCTCAAAACAAACACTGGCACTTCAAGATTTGAAATACTTATTTCCTTTTGTTCAAACCAAAACATAACCAAAGTTGTGTGTGTGTGTGTGTGTGTGTTTGTTTGTGTGTGTGCATCAGGTGCATCACGAAGTAGTGATCACGCGAACGCACTGTTTAGCGATACTCATCCAGTTCGAAACGGCCAGGGGCAGGCAGGTGGTTGAGGCTCAGAAAAACCTTGAAGCGGTCTGGCAAACTGCCTCCGTACCTCTTGCACGCTGGTAGTAATCCGATCGAACGCTGTCCGAGTGACGCTGGCATATAGCAAGTTTAGTTTGTACATGATGCAAAATCCTGAGACTGGGAATGAAATTTCAAAGAGAAAGTGTAAGAAGACAGAAAAAAAAAATGGGACAGGACAACGCCTCAAACTCAGCTCTGGGAATGAAATATTAAAGAAAAAGTGTAAGAAGAAAGAAAAAGGGGGACAGGACAACGTCTCAAACTCAGCTCAGGACAACGTTTCAAACTCAACTCAGCTGAAAATGCAGCTCAGGACAACGTCTCAAACTCAACTCAGCTGGGATTGAGACGTTTTCCTGTCCCCTTTTTTCTTCTTACACTATTTCTTGCGAATTGCATTCCCAGTCTAGGGATTTTGCATCATGATCAACATACACCAGCTCGCCTGCACCTTGACAATTTTTTAGTTTGTAATTGCTTTGGAGGTTTATTTTCCGGGACGGAAGAAACGCCGAGTAAAAAGCACAGAAGCTGACACAACTTGAGGTCGAGGAGCGTTCTACCATACCAGTAGCGTCGGAAGAGGAAAAGCGGGGGGGGGGGGGGGGGGGGGAGGAGGAGGAGGAGGAGGAGGAGGAAGGGGAGAGAAGGCTCCAGTCTCCCCCCCCCCCCCCCCCCCCCCCCCCAGATATTTCGGACTGTTAAAGAAAACAATATGGGGAAAGACGGCATGGTCGAGCCTATTTTAGTAGCTATGAAGAGCGACATAGCTACTGTCGCTCTTCACTGCATAAAAGATCGCGTAGATGAGAAACACGTTGTCAGAAGGCGCTACTCGTCACATGCTCGGTGGTTCGGGCGTTCAAAGCTATGTCTTTTCGACTTAAAGAACTGTACCATTGGTAAAAAATAATAAATAAATAAACATAACAATAAATGCAAAAATAAAAAAGCTGGAGAGAAAAAAAAAAACTATCAAGAACCCGCCGGAAGTGTTGTCTTCTTGCATATTGAGAGGCCCAGAACTACGAAACAAGTTTCTCCTACCAAAATGTGTACAGGCTAAAAGATACACGTCCCAGGAACGTTAACTAAGAAAAAAAAATTTTATGACGCGCTGATTTTGAACAATTTTAGAAATCTACCCCCGTGAGTTAATTTATTCCTCAACGTGAAAAAAACAATAAATACATTATTTTGTATTCTGCAGATGGTAATGATGTGTACTGTGTGTGGTGTTAATTTTAATGTGATACCTCAAACAATTTAGACGAAAAAAATTACCAAGTTTAGGGCATAATTGCCTGTAGATACATGTTTGGATATTTCTTTGAAACTCGTCTTGAACAACAATAATCGTATCTTAAGACGACACTTACCTAGGCTATACATAGATCATTCTTAAAAAGTTTAACATCTCTACCATAAATCGCGACTCCATCTAACTATAGACCTTTTCATTTTAGTAGTTGCCTCACCGGCGGATAGAGGGCGCTGATGCACTCGGCGCCATTAGGTTGTTTCAATTTGGTTGGTTTCGGTTTGAACGTGCACGCATTTATGTGGCTGTTTTACGTGGTTTTTGCTTAATTTAGGGATACAAATATTTTCCTTGTAGCACACAACCAATGGAACAGTGACACTGACCCACCGTGAGGACTGCAAGGCGTTTTTGAGCCTAAATCGCGGGGTTTTTTTACGAACTCCTTTGATGTAGCTCATTATGGTTGGTTGCGAAACACCAGGCTAATGCACAGGGAAGATTACCATCGTCTACGGCCGTACCCGATGACACCAGTTTCCAGAAAAACAAACTAATGAAGAAACTAACACGTGAATGCAAAGAAGCATATCGACAGCTTGATTGGCAATGTGCTGAATCGGGCAGAACAGATGAACTCGCGAGTTTAGTACTCACTGTTTGGTTTTCGTGAGCACCCAACCTTTAGTGAGCTTCGCGGACTATAAACGTATAGTGTAATTGCGCAGATAATTTATATAAACAAGTAGTATCGTCTCGGACTCCTTTTTTTTTTTTTTTTACTTCAGTACTCGAGGAAATTTTAACATGCAGACTACGAAATTTCCTAAATTATCAAACGTCCTTAAGTACTCATAAGCAGCATTTCGTGATATTAGCCCTAGGAAATAAAATATTCTTATATAAACATTTGCTTACTCAAGATATGATTTAAGTGACCGGCCCGTCAAACTAAATCTGCAATTGGTCAAATAAAATTAAAGGGTGCAGGAGAAATACCTCGGAAAGTTTGGCTGAATTCTAGCGCTAGGCACCACCACGGACCTGTGTGAACAAATATTCATTTGTTTGAACAGATTCGCTTTGCAAATTTCTGCGTCGCCAGCCATCAAAAGTAACCTCTATCCGCAATCGACAGCCCTGGACTCGAGTGATTGTTATGCAGAACGGTTTTTTTCCCCGGCCTCAAATGTTGCAAACCCCAGATACTGGCAAATGATAAAACAGCGTACAAAAAAAAAAAAAAGCGTTGTTATTATTGCGCATGCGCTGAACCAAATTCGCGTTTGGATTTCGAAATAGATACGACGTTATTTCTTTGTGCACGCGATTCTGAAACTCGCCACTGTTAAGTTGTCTGTGGCAGTTGCGCGGGAAGTCCCAACCTTTGTGTTAAAATAAATTAAGTAAATTGATCTGACATTTTGGACAAAACCCCGAGACTAGGGAGTTTTGTCCAAAATGTTAAACCTTCACCAGCTTGTTTGCGCCCTAACTTTTTGTTCGTAAATTGATCTGGTTATCTAAAGATAATCAATAAATCACTTAAATGACTGTCGAAATGCGAGCGACCATTGTATACAATTTACTAAACTTCATAAGTAAACCGACCAACCGAATGCTTATTTTTTACACTGCAAAAAAAGATTGAGAACCTCATGCACATGTAGGTGTGATATTATGAACAAACAAATCGCCTGAAGTTAAAATACCATTATTTCTAGCCTCAGATAAAATAAAAGTTAAACGTTCGTTGTCTATTTCCTCCACGAGTTTCGTCAAAAAATAGTCAACATAAACTGTTTTAGATATATTATGCATAAAAAGGATATTTTCATTAAATACAGATAGACTCCTTGCGCTGACTATTCTTGACGCCTTCTGATGCTAAACGCGCGATATAAATATAGGCGCTTCTTATGTTCCGCCTCCATTAGTAAACAAACCTCAGTTGCCACAAGGACTTTTGTACCCTCGTGATGTCTTGGTCCTCGAGTACACGTATCGGGCGACAGCCTCCGAAGTAAGGCAACAAAGCGCGATGAAACGCGGCGAAAAACACAAATAGAACGCATCCACCCACCAAGGCGCGGAGGGGGGAGCGGAACAACAAGTTGAAGCAACCTAATGGCTGCCGCGCCACGTGATTCCAAGATGGCAGCGCCCATGCGAGGGAGGATGAAATCAAGGAGGTTAGAAGTACTAGGAGGGGGCACGTTGCAATATTGGTGAAGCCTAGTCATAAAAAGTTTAAACGATTTTGTGCCCAGCGTGACCGCAGATCTGTCTGGCGACTGGTGCGCGTGACATGTCACGTGTGAGATGGATGGTTGATTGTAGAAAGACTCTTTGTAGGCTTGCGCGCGCTCCGTCCGGTAGGTTTTATCACATCAAAGGCTAGACTGTGGTGTCTTCTAGTACCCCATAGCAAGACGAAGGCTAGCTACGGTCACGTGATGTGGTCACGTTGGCATGGTAAGTGAGGAGAGTAAGGAGGAAAATGAGAAAGAGGCGAGGCGTCAAGGGAGCATGGCTTGTGGAGGCTACGCGGCCGACGTCATGCCCTCTCCTACCCTTCTATTCTCCATGGATGAAATGGTCTATAGGTGGCGCCACTCATTTTTCAAAATGGCGGTTATAGTGAGGGTCCACTGATCTCAATGACAATTGCTGGATCGCGCTTGCCGCTCCCGCAAGTGAAGCCACCGGACTTCACTCGCTTGGGATACGATTTGCCGTTTTTGCTAGCCTTTGCTGCGGTTTTCCAGCGTGCTGTAGACAGGTTTTCTACTCGTTCGTCGTCATTCGCCGAAGAAGTTTTTTGAGACTGTGTATTGTTGAGACTTGCCGTTGTG